TGTGTGTGTGTGTGTGTGTGTGTGTGTGTGTGTGTGTGTGTGTGTGTATCCCAGCCTTGACGGCTCTGTAGTACCCAGGTGAAGCCAGAATCTTAACTTATGCTGCACTGAAGAATCTCGGGATGAATTAGATTGAAGAAAGGGTTTATTAAGGAAAATAGGGTACATGCCAGATTTAAGAGCAGTAGAAGGGGTAGGAAGGTATTAGCCTGAGTGTTTTAAAAACACGGCTTTTTTCTTCTTCTTCTTGTTATAACAGGCCTTACACATGCTGGGCAAATGCTTTATTGCAAAGCTGTATCACCAGCCATTATCATTATTATTTTGACAGGGTCTTGCTAAGTTGCCCAGACAAGCCTTGAATTCATCATCCTCCTTTCTCTAGCTTCCTAAGTAGCTAGACTTACGGGCGCACACCAATGTGTCTGGCTGATGTTTTAGTGTTTTGGTGCTAGGGACCTAACTCAGGGCCTCATGCATGCTAAGCAAGCACTTCAGGACTGATTTTTGTGGCTTTTGAAGTTGTAGTGTTCAAAGGATATGATTTACGAGGAAGTTGAAAGAGTAAGTAAGAAGTTGACGTTAAGTTAAATGGCTGGCAAGATGGCTCAGTGAGTAAAGTGTGTGCGGCCAGGCCTGACAGCCTGAGTTTGATCGCAAGGTCCAACGTGGCAGAACACATTTCCAAAAGTTGTCCTCTGACCTCCAAAACACAATGTGGCATATGTGTGAACACACGCACACACATATGCTTACACACACATAAATACATGCTATAAAATTAATTGTTTTAAAGAGCTGGTTTACTTATTTCTCTTTAAAACTTCGTTCTCTGGCCGGGCAGTGGTGGTGCACACCTCTAATCCTAGCGCTTTCGGGGGCAGAGGGAGGTGGATCTCTGTGAATTCAAGGCCGGTCTGGTCTTCAGAGTTAGTTCCAGGGCAGCCAAGGCTACACAGAGAAACCCTGTCTTGAAAGAGCTAACTAACTAACAATAAATAAAAAATTTTCTTTTGTAAATGAAGGCATTAAAATGATTTGTTTATTTATTTGTGTGTGTGTGTGTTTCCGAATGTTGATACAGATTTGTGCAAGATGCCTGCCTGGAACTCAGAGAACAACTTCTGTTGTAATCCTTAGGTTATTTCCAACTTTTATCTGAGATAGTCTCCCTGGAAGGTTGGCAGGTAGGCCAGGCTAGCTAGCACTTCCAGGAGTCTACCTTCTCCCACCTTCCATTTCTAGTCCCTCTCCGGGATTACAGGCAAGTGCTTCTCAACCTGTGGGTCACAGAGCAGATGCCCTGCATACCAGGTGTTTACGATATGGTTCAATTATAGCAGCAACATATAGCAATTATATTACATATAATTATTACATATTACATATTCGATTATATCAGCAATAACTTACAGTTATTAAGTAACAAAAGAATAATTTTTTTGGTTGGGGGTCACCACAACATAAGAAACTGTATTAGAGGGTTGCAGCATAGGGAGGTTGAAAACCACTGCTTTGTTACTTTCTACTTTATCCTTTGGGATATGGGGTTTTTCACTGAACCTGTAGGTCACTGATTGGAAAGACTTGCCGGCCAGCGAGACCCCAGGATGCTCTTAACAAACTGAGCAAATCCGATGTTGCTTGCACAGCTATGCTCTGAAACATCTCCCAGCCACATTATGTTTTCTTTGTCTCTATTCTTTATCTTTGTTTGTTTGTTTGTTTGTTTGAGGATGTAGCCCAGGCTGGCCTGAAAATTGCCACGTAGCTGAGGATGCTGTCCATGAACCTAAGTGTTGGGACTGCAGGCCTGCAGCGCTGTGAGTCTGCTGTGCAGGCTTACAGATGAGAAAGGAATGCTGATGAGTCAAAGGTCACAGAAGTTTGACTCACTAGGTAGCCTTCAGTACCTGCTTCAACAGACACTGCTCGGAGGCGGGACCATTGTCTCCATGCGGGCAAGCTTAATGGTGCTCTTTATTATTTGGGCTTTTTTGAGTTTTGATTCTCAAAGTCAAGAGATGCAAATCAGATTCTGGAGGTATGTGTGTCCCTGAGCTTTCTTGGTCTTTCTATCCTACTTATATCTCTAAGATACCCCAACCTTCAGGAAGGTTTGAAGGAAGTCAGTTTTAAACATGGGGTCGTTAATTTTCAGTTTTGCCAAAAATGCAATGCAGTCACATAAGAGAAAAAAAAGTTAAAATATTTATATATTTTATGTGTATAAATATTCTGCCTCCATGTATCTCTGTGTACTGCACATTTGCCTGCTGCCTGCTGGGGCCTGAAGAGACAACACATGCCCTGGAACGGGAGTGCTGCCAGGTTCTGAGCTACCATGTGGGTGCTGGGAATCAAACCCAGGCTGTCCTGCAAGATCAGCCATTGCTCTTAACTGATGAGCCATGCACTAGCCATCTCTCCTCAATTACATAAAAAAGTTGCTAAATAGCAATTACAGGAGGACATTGCTGTAGACTAAGTTGTTCCTTTAGACACTAACAAACTGGGCTAAAAAAATTCGAAATACAGACTAGGGGTAGCTAAGTGCCAGAACACTTACCTAGCCTGAACAAGATCTGAAGTTTGATTCCTAGTATGTGGGTGGGGGAGGAGACATTTTTGCTAAGATTGCATATCACGAAATTCAAAATAAACTGTTTATCTGAACTTCCCAGAAATCAAGCTTAGCGAGATAGACAGATTTCTCAAACAGGCTAACTCTGCTTGACATGGCCATGAAGTTCCCTCTGCCTTAATTCTTACACAAAAACGTAACCTGGAGTGACATGGTGTTGACTAACCGGTTATTTTTCTATTGTTATATTTCCTTGTCTTTGATTTAGAAGGAAAGTAACTTTGAAGTGAAAAAGCCTCTTTCTTTTTTGTACTTTTTCTATAAAATCAACCCTTTCTGTTCTGCTCACTGGGAAAAATCAACTGTATTTATAGAATGAAGTGATGCCTGATTACAGAATTTAAAATAAACAGAAATGGAAATTAAGAAAATTTGTCCTTTGGCAAGGCAGAACGATAAGATAGCAAGTCAGAAAGCAAAGGGAAACTGAACCACAGGGCTGCTTGAAATGTTCAGATACTGCTTGACAACACGTCCATCCTGGCTCTAATACAAGTCTGTTTTTTCTTTCCTCCAGAAAAACTCGTGATTAAGATGAAAAGAATGGAATTTGGCCGTGTGGCTCAGCGGTAGTGCACTTGCCCAGGGCCCGGCAGCAGATTCATACAAAATCTTGATGTTGGTGTCGATGTTGATAAAAGGCCTAACAGGGCGTGTGGGCACCACCTGTCATCCCAGAACCCAGAAGCAGAAGCAGGAGGATCTTGAGTTCAAGCCAGCTTGAACTACATAGTAAGATCCTGTCTCAAAAACCTAAAGATCTAACAATTCGGCTGCCATGATGATGGTTCACAGAAGGCTCTTCTCTCCATAGATGCCAGAGTTCTCAGATGCTCCAATGTATGTCTGTTTGTTTGGGGTTGGGGGCAAAGGTTGGGTGCTGGATCCTCTATCTTTTTTCTTTTCTTTCTTTCTTTTTTTTAATAGCAGGTCTCATGTAGTCTAGGTTGAACTCAGTATGTAGCCAAGGATATTGAACTGATTCTACTGCCTCTGCCTCCCAAGTGCTGTGATTCCAGGCATGTACTGCCATGCCAGGTATTTATGGTGCTAGAACCCTATTTTATTTTATTTTTTGATTTTTTTTGACAGAATTTCTCTGTGTAGCCTTGGCTGTCCTAGACTCACTTTGTAGACCAGGTTGGCCTCCAATTCACAGAGATCCAACTGCCTTTGCCTTCCAGAGTGCTGGGATTACAGGCATAAACCTTTGAGCTCGGCTTGGAACCTAATTTTTTTATGCATTCGAGGTAAGCACTTTACTGTAGAGGAATTTTAATTTAGAACATGGCTGTTCTGTCAAGAGATCACATCCAAAGACCTTCTAGGTCTGTGTGAGCCAGCTGGGATACAGATATGCCTTTAATCTGAGGAGACAGAGGCAAGCAGAGCTCTGGGTTCAAGGCCAGCCTGGTACAGAGGAAGGTCTTTACCTTTATCCCAGCACTCAGGAGGCAGATCTCTGAGTTCTAGCCAGTGTTCAAGCACTTTGGGTTAGTTAATGAGTTGAGAGGCAGTTGCAGTGGAGTTGAGTTTGTAGCAGTTCAGTTTGTGGAATTCAGAGGCAGTTTTACTGGGACAGTTCTACAGAAACAGGTTGAAGACAGAACAAGCTAGACACAGGTGAAGACAGAACGAGCAAGGGAATGAGAAGGAGCCGGAAGATTAGAATAGATTGTAGAGTTAGGTTGAGGACACACAGGGCAATTTGAACCAGGAAGCAAGAGCTCAGAACTAGAAAGGGGTGAGCTTATTCAGCAGTAAGTCTCAGAGGCTGAAAACATTCTTGGCCTAGATTATAAGGTAGAGAGGCTAGAAGCTTCGAGGACTAGGCCTACGTTAGCAGATGGAGGCAGCAAGCCCCAGAGACGACAGGGGGAGTAAAGTTGCTTTTCCACTTTACCAGCTAGCCTCCAACCCCATGTAAAGCAGCATCAGCTGTACTGCAGATGAAGGGTGGCCATTAGGAGACACAGCCCGAGGAGGCACTGCTCATGTGGAGCAGGGGTTGCTCAAGAGGGAGCTGCTGAGTGTTGCCTTTGAGTAATTCTGAGAATTGTAGATACTCAACGAAGCATACTCTACTGGATGGCTAAAATTTAATTTATATCTTCATGTATGTACTAAGTAAGTAGTCCCTAGATGTACCCATGGCACTATAAGAATAGGGAGAGATTTAATTCAAGAATAAATATGGGCCTGTGGTGCATACCTGTAATTTCAGTACCCCAGAGGGCGGCAAGAGGTGGATGCAGTTTATCTTGGGCTATAAGTTTGAGGCTACTCTGAACTACATAAGGAGTTATCCAGAAAACAAAAACAAACGAACAAGCAAAAAAACCTCTAAATACACAGCATGTAAATAAATAAATTTATTTTTAGAAAGAAGAACCTGGTGGGGGAAGAGGAACTTAGGAGTGGATGTGATTGAACCATGGTGTTTACATCCATCTCATCTGTCTGTCTATCTATCTATCTATCTATCTATCTATCTATCTATCTATCTATCTATGCACCTATGTCTGTGTTAGGGTGTCAGATCCTCTGAACTGGAGTTGCAGACAGTTGTGAGCTGTCATGTGGGTGCTGGGAATTTAACCTGGGTCTTCTGGAAGAACAGCCAGCGCTCTTAACTGCTGAGCCATCTCTTCGGCCCCACGATATTCTATAAAAAAAAAAAAAAAAAAAAAAAAGAAAGCGAAAAAAGATTTTGGACTATGGACTTTCCTGAAAACTGCCAGGTAACCTGGACACCAGGCTCAACCCTTCTGCCCGGAGCCCGCCCCATCGACGGGCTCAGGTCCTTCTACTTTGGTCTTGTCTGGAGAGCGAGAGCGAGTGCTCTTGGGAGAAACGTGGGCCCGCGGCGGTCGACTAGTCAGGCCTCAGAAAGATGGCGTCCTCGGAGCAGGCAGAGCAGCCGAACCAGGTGAGGGGAGTGGGACTGCCCCGCCGCGCCTGGCAGGGGTCGGGGCTGGAGCGGCGCTCGGCGCCCGGCTGGCCGCAGGGCAGCGGCCCTGAGTCCTTGCGGCTGAGGACTCCCCCGACTTCGATTTTCTCTGGGCCCCGCCCCTCTCCGGTCCTCCCCGCCGGCTCCTCCCCCGGTGACCCCTCTCTCACCACGTTCCGGAGTTGGGGTCTCGACAGCGGCCTCGAGGCCCCGCTTGCTGCCCGGCGGCCCCTCGGAGCCCGCTGGACTTGGTCGGGGAGGGCGGCGGGCCCCAGTTAGGTCCTCAGCCCACAGATAGGAGGGCCCTGCTGGGGGAGAGGTGGGGAAGGCTCGTTGGTACCCGGCTGTCCTCTGAGGGGAGGCGCCCGGCCGCCCCTGCTCCCCAGCCCCTCAGCTCCTCGAGTACCCCACACCTTGGTTTTCAGTCACCTTGGGGCTTCCCTTGCCAAGTTAGAGCGTCGCTCCGAGGACTCCGTCCCTCTAGCGCGTTAGGAGAAAGGGGATGTACTCTAAATAAGAGACGCCACTGAGCTTTTGGCTGAGGAACCAACCCGTGCTTATCTAGGGTTTTTTTTTTTTTTTTTTTTTTTTTAATCCAAGGATTCGCCACCGAGTTTTTCACCTGCAGATTTAACTAGATCCAGTCTCAGTTATTGGCCTGTGAGGGCCAGTGTTGATGCTTGGGCTTCTGGTGTAGGGAAATAAAGATGATAAGCTCTCGGTAGGGGTTAACAATCCAAAGGCCGAGTGGGATGAGGAAAACTGCTAAGAGGCAGTCCTTTTACTGCCTGCTGTCATGCAGAGGACCTGTTATGTTTACTTTGGAAACTTGCTTATTCTTGCGTTTATATGCTCTCACTACAGAGCTGGTGAAGTCAGAGGACAGCTTTGTAGGAATCGGTTCTTCCACCATGTGGATCTCGGAGTTGGCTTGGTAGCAAACACCTTTACCTGCTCAGCCATCTGTCCTCCCTTTGTAAAGTGCAGAAGTGGGTAGCAAGGTTTTGTAACATGCCCTAAATTACGGGCACCATTGAGCCTTGGTTTCAGCCCACACAGTGTGTGACTCCACTAGTTAGCTATCTTATGTTTAAATTTAATTAGGATGGACCCGGGAAGAAAACAGTTTTCACCTGGAGTCTCATCATTCATCTCTCACCTCCTTGGAGCACTTCTAAGAGTTTTCAACCACTTGCCAATATTTCACTTCCTTTCTAGGCAGAGGACTATCACTTAATATTCTTTTCTACTCGCGATAAGTCAATTAGAGGATCACACTTAAGGGAGTTGGGCACTTAGATCGGCCTCTGTTAGTGGTGTGAGTAACTCAGGAATGGTGTGTATGCTGTAAGACATCTGGGCTGCCCGAAAGAGGGGCCCCCTTTCTTGTGTTAGCTTACCTAGTTTGCTAAAGTGCCCCATGCGTCAGGGCCTCAATTTTTTTTCTGAACTGTTTAGGAATGGGAGCTGTGTCTACAGTTTCTGATTCCTCCAGGTCATGTTCCAGTTTTATAAAGGATACTAGAAGTGTTTCTAGTCACTTGGAAGCCTTGGTGTGCTTGAGGGTTCCTTTGTTTCTGGACATCACCCTCTGCATGTGGAAAGGGTCTAAGGTCTTTTAAGGGTTTGGCCAACACTTGTTTGGTTTCAGCTCTGCCTCTCCTTTGCCCTCCTTTCCCAAGCTGATACGGATGGCGTTGCATCAGAACGTGTGGCAGCCTGAGGAAAAAGTTGAACTCTTTTTGTCATGTTCCATCATTAACAATAAGCTGCAAATACACACTTACAAAAAAAAAAAAAAAAATATATATATATATATATGTGTGTGTGTGTGTGTGTGTGTGTGTGTGTGTATACTATCTTCCTGCCCCAGCCTCCTGAATGCTGAGGTTACAGGCGTGCACCACTGAAGCATTACTTGTTTATTTACCTATTTGAAACAGCAGTTCTTGTAAACCAAATAACCTTGAGTTTTACATAGCCAAGGATGACCTTGAACTTCTGATCCTCCTGTCTCTACCTCACAAGTGGTGAGACTTCAGGCATGTGCCACCAAAGTCTGTTGGTGGTAGAGACTGAAATAGGACCCTGTATATGCTAGGCAGGCTTTGTACAAACTAAGCTACATTCCCAGCCTCAAATTAATAAACTTTAAATTAGGGGCTAGAGAGATGGTTCAGAGGTTAAGAGCACTGGCTGTTCTTCCAGAGGTCATGAGTTCAATTCCCAGCAACCACTTGGTGTCTCACAACCAGCTAGAATGAGATCTGGTGCCCTCTTCTGGTGTGTAGGTCTGTATAAAGGCAGAACATTATATACATAATAAATAAATACATATTTGAAAAAAAAACTTTTAATTAATTAATGAACTATTATTTTATATTTTTTTTTGAGACACAGTGTTACTATGTAGCCCTTAGCTGTTCTGGAACTCACTAATGAGTGTGTGGTGTAGTTACTTTGCTCAGTTTTGAGAAATTATGATGTACCTCTGTTATCAACACCAGGATCAAGAGCAAAACAGTTTTGTATCTCTTAGTGCTCTGCTCCTTCCTGCTGAGCCTCTGCTTCTGGCTTCTGTCACTAGGAGTTTTATAACCTATTTTTTTTTTTTTAAGATTTTATTTATTTATTTTGAAAGCTCTATATGTAAACCAGTATGCCAGAAGATGGCAGTAGAAGGTATAGATGGTTGTGAGCCACCATGTGGTTGCTGGGAATTGAACTCAAGACCTCTGGAAGAACAGACAGAGCTCTTAACCACTGAGCCATCTCTCCAGCCCTATAACCTATTCTTTTAGGCTTTTCTTGGTCATAATAATGTTTGTGAAAATTTCCACCTTCTTTATCTGTTGCTTTTAAACAAAATCCCAAACTTTCGATTTTACCAATAAAGACTCAGGAGCCAGATGCTGGGGTGAAAGCCTGCTAGCTCAGAGAGGCAGAGAGAGCACCCAGGTGACCCTTCCTCCTCAACCAATGTCCCAGAAAGAAAAAGCTCCTTCTCCTTCTGTCTTCAAAACAAAACAAAACAACCCATCAAGGCCTGCAGGCACATATGCAGGTAATATACTGTATAGATAATAAATAAATAAATCTTTTTTTAAAAAGTTCCTTCTTTCTTTCTTTCTTTCTTTCTTTCTTTCTTTCTTTCTTTCTTTCTTTCTTTCTTTCTTTCTTTCTTTCTCTCTTTCTCTCTTTCTCTCTTTCTTTCTTTTTCTTTTTCTTTTTCTTTTTTTTTTTTCTGTGTAGCTCCGGCTGTCCTGGAACTTGCTCTGTAGACCAGGCTGGCCTCAAACTCACAGAGATCACTTGCCTCTGCCTTCCAAATGCTGGGATTAAAGGCGTTTGTCACCACATCCGGCAGTGATTCCTCTTTCTGTTTCCTGTGCATCCTTGGACTTCCTCTTAATCTCTATGGCTTTTTCCTGTGTTCACTTCTGTCAACTGGTTGCTTGCTCCTACTCTTGACCTATGACTGACTTTATTTAATCCTGTTTACAGAAAGCTCTTGGATTAAAGGTGTAGGCTAGGCCTGAGCCACACCACAATGAGAAACAGGTTTTTCCAGTATACAAATCTCAGGGTTCACAGTGTGATCAAATATCCTGAACCATTTATAATTCATTAATTTTTAAAAAACTTTTTATTGATTCTTTGTGAGTTTTAAATCATATACCCCAGTTCCACTTACCTTCCTGTCCCCTAGTAATCATCCTCTTTCCTTGCAACCTCCCCCCAAAAGAAAGAAAAACACACAAACAGACGAAACAAAGCATACAGATATCTCATCGTGGAAGCTGTAGTGTGTTACGGTGTGTCCCGCAGTACACCCCTCCGTCCACACATCTTTACTTGCAGATGTTGATTGCAGTCATTGGTCTGGTCTGAGGCCTCTGTCTCCTGTGACACCATCAGTGTTGGATCTTCACTGGGCCTCCTCCCAGTTGGCCTGTTGCTGCCTTGTGTTAGGGAGACTCTGCAGCTTTGGTCTGCAGGATCCAGAAGTCACATGCTCCAGCAGTTCGTAGATGAGATGGATGTTGAGATAGGCCAACTCTGAGCCCTGGATCTGGGCCTGGGTGGGAGCTGAGCTTGTAGTCCACCGGCTCTCCTGCATCCACACCATTAGGGTGAGCTCTCCAGCACTGTTCTGACTAGGCCAACCAGTGCTACCACTGGCAGGAGGCAGGGTCAGCTTTCCCACTCTCATGCCCTCCTGGCCAGCTCATCCACACCCATGCCTTAAGAGCCAGTCTGCTGTGCTGCCCAGGCAAGGTGCCAGGCCCACTTTCCCAAGTGCTGCAGTTGGTGGTTAGGGGCAGGTCCAGCTCACCTGCTTTCATGACCTTGGGGCCCTTCATTACCTTAAAGACACATTTATTTGTGTGTGGTGTGTGTGTGCACTCGTGCCATGACTCCTGTAGCGATCAGAGGGCAGCTAGTGGGAATTGGTTTTGTCCTTCCGCCACACGGGTCCTTGGCATTGAATTAAAATCAGACTGAGAGCAAGTCCTTACCCACTGGGACATCTGGATACCTCATTCGTAGGTTGTTTTTTTTTTTTTTTTTTGAGAAAGAATTTCTCTGTGTAGCCTTGGCTGTCCTGGAACTCTGACTGTAGACCAGGCTGGCCTCGAACTCAGAGATCAGCTTGTTTCTGTCTCTTGCGTGCTGGGATTAAAGGTGTGTGCCACCACCACCACCAGGCTGGATTTTTTTAGGTTTATTATTATTATTATTATTATTATATTTTTAAATTTCGAGACGGTTTCTCTGTGTAGCCTTGACTGTCCTGGATTCGCTTTGTAGGCGAGGCTGACCTGTAACTCACAGTGATTCTCCTGCCTTTGCCTCCCTGAGTGCTGGGGTTACAGGTGTGGGCCACCAGCCTGGCTTTATTTTATTTTTTGAGACTAAGTTTCTCTAGATATTCTTGGCAGTCTTGGAGCTCACTGTATAGACTAGGCTGGCCTTGAACTCACAGAGATCCTCCTGCCTCTGCCTCCTGAGTCTGTTTTATTTTTAATTTTGTGTGTGTATGTGTGTGTGTGTGTGTGTGTGTGTGTGTATGTGAGTGAAGATGCCTGTGGAGTCTAGGGCATCAAATGTCTAGGAGCTGGAGTGACAGGTGGTTGTGAGCTACTTCTGTGGCTGCTGGGAACCAAATTTGGGTTCTCTGCAAGAACAGTATGTGCTCTTAACCTCTGAGTTAGCTCAGCCCCTCCATATTTGGTACTAAGGAGTTGGCCATCAGCAAGTTGATCTGTGCACTAGTTGGTGAGCTTTTGGATTGCAGCAGTTTTCTATTGCTCCAAAACACAGCACGTATTAAATTAATTGGTTAATTAATTAATTGAGGAAGATTTCTCTATTATGTAGCTCTAGTTGTTCTAGGACTTGCTATGTAGACCAGGCTAGCTTGGACTCCCAGAGATCCACCTGCTTCAGCCCTCAGAGTACTAGGATTAAAGGTTTGTGCCTTTAAATGGACATCGTAGTCTTACGTCTTCCCCACATCAATATAATTACG